CAATAAAATCAGAGATGACAAAGGAGATGTGACAACAGACCACAGAAAATAAAAAGAATCATCAGGAATTACTACAAAGAGTCTATGTGCCAGCAATCAGAAAATCTAAAAGAAATGGATAGATTCCTGGATACATACAATCTATTACAATTGAGCCATGAAGGTAGAGAAAACTTAAATAGATCAATAACCGAAACAGAGATTGAATCAGTAATAAAGATCTTCACAACAAAGAAAAGCCCAGAACTGGACAGCTTCAATGCTGAATTCTACCAGACATTTAAAGTAGAACTAACTTCAATTCTTCTTAATCTATTCAAAGCAATTGAAAGAGAGGGAATCTTCTCAAACTCCTTCTATGAAATTAGCATCACCCTAACACCTAAATGAGAAAAACAAGAAACAACAGAGAAAGAGAACTGTAAACCAATATCCCTGAGGAAAACAGATAGTCATTAACAAAATACTAGCTAATTGAATCCAGCAAAACGCACAAAGATCATTCACCTGGACCAAATGGGATTTATCTCTGGTGTGCAGGGATAGTGCAACATTCACAAATCAATAAATATGATATATCACATTAACAAGCTGAAAAATAAAAACCATATGATTATTTCAATAGATACAGAGAAAGCATTTGATAAAATACAACATCCTTTCACGATGAAAACCTTAAGCAATTTGGGTTTAGAAGGAATATTCCTCAACACAATCAAGGCAATCTGACAGACCCACAGCCAGTATTTGATTAAATGGGGGAAAAGTTCTAAGCATTCCTACTAAGATCCAGAACCAGATAAGGATACCTCACACTTTCACCATTGGTATCCTGGAATTTTTAGTCAGAGCCATTAGGCAAGAAAAAGAAATCAAAATGATGTAATTGGAAAGGATGAAGAATTTTCTAAAAAAATTGGAAAGGATGAAGTCAAAATATCCCTGCTTGCAGATGACATGATTCTATATGTTGGGATCCAAAAGGTTCCACTGAGAGACTATTGGAACTCATAAAAGTGTTTGGTAAAGTGGCCAGATATAAAATTAACACGCAAAAATCAATAGCCTTTGTATACACAGACTATGTCATGGCTGATGAAGAACTTCTAAGATCAGTCCCATTCACAATAGCTACAAAAGAATTAAACACCTTGAAATAAATTTAACCAAGGAATTAAAATATCTATGATGAAAATTATCAATGATTAATGAAAGAAATAGTAGAAACCTCCCCCCCAATAGAAAAGTCTTCCATATTTGTGGATTAGAAGAATTAATATCATCAAAATGTCCATACTACCATTAGCAATTTATAGATTCAGTGCAATCCCAATCAAATACTTATGACATTCTTCTTGAATGTAGGAAAAACTATGCTGAAATTCATTTGGAAACACAGGAGACACCAAATAACTAAAGCAATCTTTACAACAGAAACAAAACTGGAGGTATCACAATACCAGATTTCAGGACATACTACTGGGGAATTGTAATCAAAACAGCTTGGTACTGGCACATAAGTAGACTAAATAGACTTGTAGACCACTGGAACAGAGTAGAAAATCCAGAAATCAATCCATGCATCTACATCCTACTAATCTTTCACAAAGTAGCTAAAATCAATCCTTGGAGAAATATACTCTCTTCAACAAGTGGTGCTAGGAAAACAGGATCTTCATGTGTAGAAATATGAAAACAAGACCCCTACCTTACACCTTACACAAAAATCAACTCAAAATGCATCAAGAACCTAAATCTATGATCCAATACCATCAAATTAAAAAAGGAGAGCACTGGGGAAACTGCATGATATTGGCATAGGCAAAGACGTCTTGGAAAAGACCATAGAAGCAGAGACAGTCAAAGCCCAAATTGACAAATGGGATAAAATCAAGTTGAGAAACTCCTGCACTGTCAAAGAAGCAGCAAAGTGAAGAGGCAACCAACAGAATGGGAGTAATTATTTGCAAACTCTGCAACTTATAAAGGATTAATAACAAGAATATATAAAGATATCAAAAAACTCAACAACAACAAAACAAACAATTCAAGCCAGCGCCGCGGCTCACTAGGCTAATCCTCTGCCTGCGGCACCAACACCCTGGGTTCTAGTTCCAGTTGGGGTGCTGGATTCTGTCCCAGTTGCTCCTCTTCCAGTCCAGCTCTCTGCTGTGGCCCAGGAAGGCAGTGGAGGATGGCCCAAACCCTTGGGCCCTGCACCCACATGGGAATCCAGGAAGAAGCACCTGGCTCTTGGCTTCAGATTGGCGCAGTGCACTGGCTGTAGTGGCCATTTTGGGGGGGTGAACCAATAGAGGGAAGACCTTTCTCTCTGTCTCTCTCTCTCTGTCTAACTCTGCCTGTCAAACAAGAACAACAACAACAATTCCGTTAAGAAATGGGCAAAGGACTTGAACAAACATTTTCCAAAAGAGGAAATTCAAATTGTCAACAGACACATGAAAAAACACTTAGGAGCATGACCCATCAGGGAAACACAAAAACCACAGTGAGGTTTCATGTCACCCCAGTTAGAATGGCTCTCATACAGATATCAACAACCAAAAATGCTGGCGAGGAAGTGGAGAAAAAAGTACCCTAATCCGCTGTTGGTGGCATTGTAAACTGGTACAGCCACTGTGGAAAACTGTATGTAGATAATTCAGAAATCTGAATGGAGATACTTCAGAAATCTGAATGTAGACCTACCATATGACCCAGGAACCCCACTCCTGGGAATTTACCGAAATGAAATGAAATCAGCAAATGAAAAAGTTATCTGTACTCCCATGTTTATTGTAGCTCAATTCACAATAGCTAAGATATGGAGTCAATACATGATCATTAACTTAAGCCTGTGTAAAGAAATTATTGTGTATGTATACCATGGAACTGCACAATAGCAAGAAAAAAAAGAAACCCTGCTGTTTGCAACAAAATGGATGCAACTGGAAACCATTATACTTAGTGAAATAATCCAGTACCGAAAAGACAAATGCCATATGTTTTTCCTGATCTGTTGTAACTTCTAGAGTAACTAAATGGTAATTTATAGAAGTGAAATTGTCACTTTGAAATGTGATGATTTTGAACAAACCTTGTCTTTACTATTGATGAATAGTTTTTATTTTCATACTATTTTTTTGAACTCTTTTCTTAGCATGGTGTTAATCTTATGAGTATAAAGTAACCTGAACATAGATATTTGTAAAATAAGAGTGAGAATAGGAGAGGGAAAACAAAGAATTGTTGAAGCATTGGCAGGAGGGAGGGTAGAGTAGACTGTATCACTATATTCCTAAATCTGTACATATTAAATACATGAAATGTGTATATCAAATAAACTTCAAGAAAAGATTATTCAATAAAAAGCAGCATTCAACATATCAGTGGTTAGGATTCAAAGACAACAGAATCAGTGGTTTAAGCAACTGAAAAAGTTTCATTAAGTCATTCAATAATATACTATTTTTTCATTCATGTATTTCACATATACATGTATGTTCACTTTGTTACAGGAACTGTGTAAAAATCAGTCTCCTGGAAAAGGGAAATTACTGTAGTAATGTGTGGGAGCAGTTAGCATCGTAGCAAAAATGTAAAGTAATTATATTTACATTTACAAAATTACATTTACAAAATTACAATATTACATTTACAAAAATGTAATTAAAAATGTAAAGTAATTATAACTGTAATGAGTGTTTTAAAAAAATATACAGTAGTCTGCAATAATGGTATTCTTATTTTGTTCTGGAGCTTCTGAAAGGGTTCCTAGAGAATGGTTGACAGTGTTTAGGTTTATACCTGTAGCATAAATAACTGTTACTAAGGTTAAGAAAAATGTGTTTTTCAGGTAGAAACTCTGTGTAAGAGATGTTCTTTTTTTAAGCTTTTATTTAATGAATACAATTTTCATAGATCCAACTTTAGGAATATAGTCATTTTCCCCCATATCTACCCTCCCACCCCTACTCCCATCCCACCTCCTACTCCCTCTCTCATCCCATTCTTCTTTAAGATTCATTTTTAATTAACTTTATATACTAAAGACTAACTCTATACTAAGTAAAGATTTCAGCAGTTTGCACACACACAATATAAAAAGTACTGTTTGAAAATAAGTTTTGCAGTTACTCCTCATAGTACAACTCATTAAGGACAGAGGTCCTACATGGGGAGCAAGTACACAGTGACCCCTGTTGTTGATTTAATAATTGAAACTCTTATGTATGACATCATGACATCAGTGATCACCTGAGGCTCTTGTCATGAGCTGCCAAGTCTATGGAAGCCTTTTGAGTCCACAAACTCTGTCAGTATTTAGACAGGGCCATAAGCAAAGTGGAAGTTCTTTCCTCCCTTCAGAGAAAGGTACCTCCTTCTTTGATGGCCCCTTCTTTCCACTGGGATCTCACTCACAGAGATCCTTCATGTAGGATATTTTTGCCACAGTGTCTTGGCTTTTCATGCCTGAATGCTCTCATGGGCTTTTCAGCCACATCTGAATGCCTTAACATTTGATTCCGAGGTCAGAGTGCACTTAAAGCGATTGTCATTTTCTGAGTCTGCTATGCGGACCACTTCCCATGTTGGACATTAACTCTTTTTTAATTATGTCTACTATTAATACCAGGTACTTGGTGCTATTTGTATGGTTTCTTTAAGACTTAATCCTATCTATATGTTCACTTTAGCACTTAATATGATCACTTTAACAATTAAGATGGCATTTTACAGCTTTACAATTACCAACTTCCTTCTCCCTCTCTTATTCCCCATTTTATTTTTTACTGAGATCTATTTTCAATTGACTTTGTATATATATATTACACTATATATAAATAATATATATTATATAATATATAATATTATAATATATATATGATCAACTCTATTTTAAGTAAAGAGTTCAACATTTAATATGAAAAGCGAAAAGAAAAAAAATATGTTCCTTGACAGTGAAGGCGAGGGGTGTTCAAGTAAGAGTTAGTCTTGAGGCAGGAGATAATATAGCTAGGTTTAAGGATTTGGAAGAAGACCAAATTATTGGTTCTTAGAATTGTGTGCTTACAAACCAAGAAGAAAAAATGTTCAGAGATTGAAAGGAAATATGTGTTATGTTCAGAAATTCATAGCACATGTTAAGTATTGTTGCTTTGATTCTAAGATATTTGGATTATAGACGTGGTTGGTGTATGCAAAATAAACTGGGTTAAGAGACAAAAGAAGAAAGCTGATTAGTTAGAGTTTGTACTTGGCTTCTTCAGAAAAAAATAGAAGCAAAGAAATCTCTAGATCTGTGTATTTGAATGGATTTAAAACAATTTATGGAAAATGTATATTATAAAAAAACTGCATGGATTTCAGATTGTTTTTGCACAAAATAAATTATATTTTAATTTCATTTCCATGAAGCTTCTAAAGTTTCCTTGTTTTTCAACCACAGAAAGCTTTCTTCTACTGAATATTCATGGGATACCGTTAAATCAAATTTCACCAAAATAACAAGTGTTCACTGAGAAAACAGTTTCCTTCTAAGCTCTCTCTTCAGAGCCCCTTTAATCTCATTATTCCTGAGACTGTAGATGAGGGGGTTCAACATGGGGATCACCACCATGTAGAACACAGACACTATCTTGTTCTGGTCAGTTGAGTAGCTGGACTTGGGCATCACATAAATGAATGTAATGGTCCCATAGAACAGAGTGACTGCTGTGAGGTGGGAGGTACAAGTTGAGAAGGCCTTGTGGCGCCCCTCAGTGGAGTGCATCTTCATGATGGTGATGAGGATGTAGATGTAGGAGACAGCTATGACAAACACTGTGACCACAATGATGGAGCCAGCAGTAAACGACGGAACAACTGCAGGGACACTGACATCAGAACATGAGAGTTCAACTAAAGGAGCAAAGTCACAGAAAAAATGGTTGACTCTGTTTGGTCCACAGAAGAGTAAAGAATAGAAGCATATGGTAAAAGAGCACGTGTTGAGGAACCCACCTATGTAAGCAAGTATGAGTAACTGGACACAGACTTGTGTGGACATTTTGTTTGTATAAAGCAGTGGGTTGCAGATTGCCACAAAGCGATCATATGCCATGGCAGCAAGAAGGAAGCACTCACTTGACCCAAAGAAAGCAGCTGATCCAAGCTGGAAGTCACATCCAAAGTAGGAAATTGTGTTTTTCTCCCTTAAGAAGTTTACAAGCATGTTGGGTGTAACAGAAGATGACATACCCATGTCAGCAAAAGCCAGTTGGCTCAGAAAAAGGTACATGGGATGATGGAGCTGCGAAGAGATTCTGATAAGAACGATTGTGCTGAGATTGCCAGATATGGTCACCAGGTAGATGCATAGGATGATCACGAAGAGGACGACTCGTAGCCCTGGATCATCTGTTAATCCCAGGAGAATGAACTCTGACACTGCAGTGTGGTTTCCACCCACCAGGGAATCCATAGGACAATGGAGATGCTGACAAAGTGAACCTATGATGAAAACAGTATATTAAAAATTTATGAACATTATATTGCCATTAATGTACACATGAAGATTATTAATAAATATGTCATTCAAGCAAAATTGGGACTAAGAATTGCTTTTTTATTCTACAATCCCAGAATCCATATTCTCATATTTATGTGTAATATATCTTTCTATATTTAAAAAGTAGCTTACAGCAGAAATAACAGAAATATATTGTTATTTAAGTATTTTAAAGTGTATCTTTAACTATAGATTCATACATTTGAGATTTATGAAAATAAAAACAAAGAATAGTAACTCTAACAAAAAGGATTAAAATGTTTAAGTATAGGTGTGTATAATAGAGACTAGCATTTTTGAATGATTACTAAATTAGGGGCCCAAGATTGAATTGAAAAGTATATAGATACAATTTTTTTGGCTTCATCGTTAAACTGATGATAAGGACTTGTGTCCCTCATTAGAATGCTTGGATTTAAGTCCCAGCTCCACCCCCAACTACAGGTTCCTGCTAGTGCAGACCCTGAGGGGCAGCAGTAGTGGCTCAAGCTATTGGGTTCTTGTCACCATGCGGGAGACCTGGATTCAGTTCCCAGCTCCCAGCTTTGGCCTGACTCCATATCAGTCCTGTTCATTACAGCCATTTGGCAAGTGAACCAGCAGGTTGCAGATGGGAACTCCCTATCTCTGTCTCTGTCTGCCTGTCTGTGTCTTAAATGGGAAAAAATTTATTTAGATAGGATGTTTCATTTTACTTTTCCTAAAATAATGTTATGTGCTTGTATTTTTTTATAGACAAGGAAACAGATTTTGAAAATCTTGAGTAAGCTACCTAAGGTTACATGAGAAGTGATAGTATCAGAACAGGACCACAGGCAGGCTCAACTCAGTCCATTTCTTCAGTAACTGTGCTAAACATGAAATTAAGTAATAGCTACAGTGAAGCTGAATACCCTTGTAAAGAGGGAATAACAGATTTAGCCTTTCATTTTTCTGATAGGTGATACATAATAAGGTTCATATTTGGTTATGTAGTTTACATTGTATCAGTTAAACAAGTCCATTAACTTTAAAAAGAAAAATTCAGTTTTCTTAATACAACAAGGAAGATATAGAAAGGAAGTTAAATTTATAAATGTAGCTACCTGTTGTGAATTTGTTAAATAGTTTTAATATTTCATATGAAAATGTTTAAGTAGAAATATCAGTGTAATCACAAGTAAAATGATCAGTATTTAGATCATAATTGAAGAATGTTTATTCAACTATGTCAAATGTTACAATGTTTTCTGAGTACAGTATTATAGAATGAAATCATATTATTTTAAAATAGTATATTCATAAAACTGAATAAAGCTTTATCCTAAAACATTAAGAAGTTTTCCCATATTCACCCAGCTAGTGGCCAGGTTGATGTTCATACTCAAAGTTTTACTGCATTATTTGTTCGTCTTTGTTCAAAAGATGTATGACGGTGATGCTAGAGCATTCAGGCCTGTACACAAATCAGGTCTTCCACAACCTATTTGCTAATAGTGTATAACAAAATTATTTCACATCTCATGAATATATTAGGATTACAGCTGAATGCTAACATAGATAGTGTTAAAGACCATAGTTCTAGTCTTATGGATAAACAAATTGGAAATCTTGGTTAACTGAATTCTATCTGTCTATTTACAATAATTTTGATGGTAGAAAATTCAGTTAATTCAGGTAAAGTCTTTTACTAGCCAGCTACCTGCTTATAAGTGCTGATTCTCAACTATGGCTTGTGAATACAGATACAACTTTAAAGGAAAAGATATATTCAAAAGGTAAATGAAATTGACTTACAAAAGCCCAAATATTACCTCTTGATAGAAGAGTTTGCTGTCATCTTACAGAAATAAGTTCTAAGTCATTGTTATAAAGCAGCTGTACTATCTTTCGTTATTGTTTTCACTTGGGGACAAATCTCTGAAGATTATACAAACTCAAATGTGAATTCCAAAGCACTAGGGATCATTATCACATTCTCAGGTGTGTATTGAGCAGTTTGTTTCACAAAAACACCATCCTCAAGGGTCACATCAGTTCTCAAATGATGTTTTTATTTTATGTCATTGACATACTTTCATTTCATAATCATTAAGAATGTATTATAATAGATTATCCCATAGCTAAATATTAGTCTTAAGTTTAATTTGATATTTTAGACTAAAGAATGCTAAACTATAAAGTAGAAACCTTAGCTTTAGTCATTCAGTATGTGTTCATTTTATAAGTATGTTGTAATGATAAATCTAAGATATTTCCTTAGATATCTTGGGGAATTTGGGGTGAGATGACATGTTAAATTGAATTTGAAATTAACAGTTATTTAAGATATGTTCATATTTTTACAGCAAAAGGTAAAATGCTTTCAAATTTGCATAGACAGAGACTTGTTGTAGGAATGTGCTTTGCAATATTTATTCCAGGCATTTGTCACTCTGTGATATAAGAATTCAAAGCATAGGTATAAATAAAGTGCAATAATAAGAGCAGGATTTGCTCAAAAAAATGAGTATACATATAGGCATAAGTGTGGGCAACTTCACAATGATAAAAACTCCCCAGGGGAGGGCCAGAGAGCTGCCCACAAGGAAAGAGCATGAGAAAAGGCAAAAAGAGAAGGGCACTCCTTTATGGGGTAGGGATGGTTCCCTAATTGAATATACAAATTGGGTGGGGTTTGGGTGGAGTTCATTGGGCATGATGTTTTCTGGGAGAGTTTCGTGGCATCTCCACATGGAGCTCATTGTACACATGCTTGTTGCATCCTCTCCGTCCTGGCCCTGGAGTAAACTCTGGAGCCTCATGGGAAAATGAGTATGCTGGATTGGCCTGCAAGGGTGCAGGGCTGCAGGAAATCTTCCAGCTTGGTTTTCTCTTCGTAACTCCCTGACTATTCTGGGTTGCATTTCACTGTGAAGTAAAAATAGGTTTGGTGTGATATTAATATCTCGGTTTTCAAGAGAAAATGATACTTAGGTATGTATATAATTTCTGCATATGAAGTGAGTGTCACAAAATGTTAAAACTATTAAATTATTTATTTATTATTTTATTTTCCCCCCAAAGAAAGCTTTTATTTAAGGAATACAGATTTCATGTATTTCATATGTACAACTTTAGGAATATAGTGATTCTTCCCACCATACCCACTCTCCCACTCATTCTCCTCCTCCCTCTCCCATTCCCAGTCCCATTCTTCACTAAGATCCATTTTCAATTAACTTTATACAGAGAAGACCAACTCTGCTAAGTAAAGAGTTCAACAATTTGCATTGTAAAAACAAAACAAAACAAAACAAGAGAGCTACTTGTTCAAGAATAGGTCCTTTTAAAACTTTGCCCAAGGGCGGGCAGGGAAGCAGGAGCAGTGAATCCCATTAGGATGGGTTTGGAGCTTGACAACACAGGTTGGGCCATATGGCCACCTGGCTTCCAGCAGTGGTGGCGGGGGCTGGAGCTTGGGATGTAAATCAGGGTGTAGATTGTGCCTACAATGTTTCCTAACATTCCCCCCTTTTGTTTTTTATAAAGCAGGCATTGTATGGCATTATATTGGCCCAAAAGTCCAGGAGGGGTAGAGGGACGATAATCTGTCTTTAGAGCTACTTCCTGCTGACATGGGGCGATGAGGTACTCTTTGCTGGCGTGGGGCGATGTCTCAATCGGCCATCTCCTGGGTGGGGAGCTGAGTATATCTTTTGGGACATTTTTAACTATTAGATCTCAAATACTTTGATCCTACTGTTGATATTATATCCTTGGCTTTTCTGTACCTTCAATTATATATATTTTGAACCATTTGCTATTGGTTTGCAGGATTCCTGCCTTGTCCTTTTTTGAAAATCTGCTTTTTTTCCATACATCATACTATATGATTTTTATTTTATGTTATTTTAATTGAAATAAAAGTGTATAACAGACCTTAAAAAAGTTAATGGAAAATTAGTGTTATGAAAAAAACTATTGATTTCAATGTTTTTGCATTAAAATTTTGTACTACTTGTTATAACATATTTAAACAGGAACTATCTGGAGGCACTAAAATGATATTAGTTCAAAAAGTACTATCAGAGTAAAATGAATTCTGTTAATATTGAAGTAAGAGAAAACATCAAATTTATGATAAAGCTTGAATTGAAGAATGGTGAAATCCTCAATACTTTATGAAAAGTTAATAGTAATAATGTGTCAAATAAGAAATTTATCAATGAATAATGTATTATAAAAGGGTAAAGATGATATTGAAGATGAAACCCCCAGCAACAGACAATCCACATTATTTGTGAGGATATATTTAGGCTTATTCATGCTTTAATTGAAGAGGACCAATGTTTATCAACAAACATGATAGTCCATAGCATGCCTATCATTTTATTCAGCTTATTTAATTTTTTTTCTTTTTAAATTTTTTTTATTTAGTAAATATAAATTTTCAAGTACAGTTTATGGATTACAATGGCTTCCCCCCCCCATAATTTCCCACCCATTCACACCCCTCCCATCTCCCGCTTCCTCTCCCGTTCCATTCACATCAAGATTCATTTTCAATTATCTTTATATACAGAAGATCGATCTAGTATATATTAAGTAAAGATTTCATCAGTTTGCACCCACACAGAAACACAAAGTGTAAAAATAGTTTCAGTACTAGTTATAGCATTACTTCAAATTGGACAACACACTAAAGACAGATCCCACATGAGAAGTAAGTACATAGTGACTCCTGTTGTTGACTTAACAATTTGACACTCTTGTTTTTGGCGTCAGTAATCTCCCTAGGCTCTAGTCATGAGTTGCCAAGGTTATGGAAGCTTTTTGAGTTCACTGACTTTGATCTTATTCCGACAGGGTCATAGTCAAAGTGGAAGTTCTCTCCTCCCTTCAGAGAAAGGTACCTCTTTCTTTGATGGCCCCATTCTTTCCACTGGGATCTCACTCGCAGAGATCTTCCATTT